GATGGGTGGATGGATGGATGGGTGGATGGATGGATGGTTGGATGGCAGCAAGAGTAGAAAGGGAAAGTTTACAAGGTGGGGAAACCTGCTATGCTGTATCTTTTAGAGACTGTGGCACTGCTAAAATTATCACTGGGAATGACCAATTGGACAAGATTGGAAATGTGCATCAAAGGGATGGCTCAGGTGGAGCTGTTGGGAGACAAACATAGAGAGACAGGACTGAGATGGTTTGGGCATGTGCAGAGGGAACGTGGGTATATTGGACAAAGATTGTTGATTGTGAAGCTGCCAGGCAGGAGGAAAAGAGGAATACCTCAGAGGAGATTCATGGATGTAGTGAAGGAGGACATGCAAAGGGTTGGTTTGACAGAGGAGGATGTTGCTGTGGTGACCTCTAAAAATGAGGGAATATCAAAGATGTGGAAAAATGAAGTCTTCAAGTCTGACTGCTCAGTGCTTTTGTTATTTGCTGCATGCAGGTCACACAGTTTTCACTTTGCCTTCACGTTTTTATCCTTTCTTGATCAAAATAAATGATTTTTAAATCATCTGATTGTAGCACAAGTGCAGAAAAGAGGTATGTTTGATTTCTCTTCGATCCACCCTCCAAGCAGGTACCTGAAGAAGCTTTTTTAACCTTTATAGCTAGCATTTGTGTATGTGTACATGTGTACATTTGTGTGTGTGCATGTATGTGTGAGTTTGTGCCTCTTGTGGAGTGTTTGATCTCACAAGGTAAACAGCTCAGTGTTGCAACACCGTCTGAAATAGCGTCCAGAGACACCGACCACTTCACATCAACTGACCTCATTCAGTGCACACACACACACACACACACACACACACACACACACACACACACACTTTTCCTTACTTGATATGGATCTAAATACTTTTCCGAGGCCTAATATTCAGCGATGCTCTTGCAGCAGATTATTTTGCTCCTGCACATGCAGCAGACTTATCGTAAAATACTTTGGATGGGGATTTCCAAACACTTGCTCGTGTGTGTTTCAGTGCATGCGTACCTGCATGAGTGGAACTGTTCAGCTGCAGCTGTGTCTGACAGTCACTCTTTGCTTTCTGCATCTCCCAGTAGAACTGGCAGGGAGAAAACATTCCGTTAACCTGTCGGGATGAAGGGAAATACATCTTATGAATATTATCTCCAAAATGAACAAACCTCCTGCGTCAGGCTCTTTGTCTCAGGTTGTGCTGTGCACGCTGGTGTTTGACATACGTGCTCCAGTTTTCTGGAGTAAAGTTCATGTTTCTGCGATCTGCTCTCCTTTCACTCCTATCTGCAGCTTTCAGGGGGAGGATTTAGGCAGTGGTGATGATTTGGGAATACAAAAAAAACTTCTCCTGCTAAAAGCAAAAACCGAAGCAGGTTAGGTTCCTCGTTAGAGATCAGCGTGTATGACACAATCAAATCTCCATAAAACAGTGTCACCACTCATGAAGGATCCCTCAGAGGCCTCTGCAGACAGCAGGAAGTTTCTATAATCTTTGTCTTTCCCTGAAGCGCATCGGCAATAAGTCCAGAGTCTCACAGGCAACTTTGGTCCTTTATTTTATTCTATGTTGGCTGCAAACAGTTTCACAACAGTTTTATTGTTTTAAAAGCATTAATATGATTCTAATTTGTGCATCAAATCTGCAGATACTCCAAGTCTTTATGTGAATTCTGTTTTTGTATTTAATTTTTACTCTCAGAGCGTTAAACCCCACCAAAGCTACAGCTGAGGGAATAACAACAACATGTATTTAATGAAGTACTTGAGTATATAATCCACCAGATTATCCTGTCTCTTAATGACACAGTTGTGATACTGATACATCTGTTAGCTCACAGTCAACATATTTGCTAGCTTTCTTTCCTGACCTGACCAAACTTTATTAAAGTTCACACACAATCTTACTGCACCCTGGTACTAAACTGCTTTACTGAACCTTTCCTCTCACACCCACTCACTCTGCGGATTGTCTGCAGCAGCTGTGTTACTTCCAGCCTGTATCGTGTGTGCGTGTGTGTACGTGTGTAATCTGAGTACATTCTTCCATGTTTGTGATTGTTAGATGCTGTCACCACAACCCTTTTCAAGTGAGCACACTTGTAGTTAAATTGGGAAATCCTTCGGTCAATTTAGGAAAGCTTTGTGTGACCACTTATCTTGATTGTCGGTGTTAGGATTAGTGTGAGTGAGTCCAGATGAACGAAGGATACCCAGAGTTTGATGAACAGCCTGTTTAAAACCCAAAGTGTTGCAAAGTGACCCAGAGACCTCAAGCTGATTGAAATGTTGTGGTGAGAGCTGTTCATGAGCAAATTAAATGAAGTGACGCTTTGAAGAAGTATAGGCCCAAATTCTCCCACAACCATGTGAGAAACTGATAAAGTCCCACAGAAAGCAGTTAATTAAAGTTATTGCTCCTAAAGGAGGTTCTATAACCGAGACACCTATTCAATCATGTGGTGTAATTAGCCTATCACAGGGCTGCACAGAGGCCTGTGAGAACTTTTTATTTTCCAACGATTGTAAGACTGACTCCTCGGGTTGGGGGCGTGTGGTGGTTGGATCGATACAGCACAGTATTTGGATATTTAGCATGATGATATTGTAATAAAAAAGGGACACCAAATATTGATACTTTATTACATAAAAATACTACAAACAATAGGCTCATGTCATGCACCAAAATGAGATCATGTCCATCAAGCAAACTTACATTAAACGGCTCAACCAAAAATCATCCAACACCTTACCCACTTAGCGTGACAAAGCTACCTCCTGATTCAGAGTAAGCTAATGCAGTAAAAATAAAACAGCAACCTCCTTGCATCTACAAAAAACAAAACAAAAAAAAGCAGGGGCTGCCTGGTGACTTTGTGATGACTAAATGTTTCCCAGAGCTGCACAATTTTGATCGGAACACAATTGCAGTCGTCTGATAGGAGGCAACCTTTCTGCAGACAGTCACAGTGTGACGTGAGCTGAGAGTAATGACTGTGATCATTTCAGAGGGA